AAAATCCAGCATAAAGGAAAATCGATACTTCCTAAAATTGTCGCTTACGACAAAGTAAACAAATTGGCTTATTTTGTCGTCCTCGCCAGTGTTAGTTTGTCGTCTTACACAAAAAGGCGGTTAAGGAGCCAAAAAGTCCATTTTAAACTTCCAAAAGGGATCGTCGTGAAGTATATTATACCGGCATCGCCTCTTTCTGCTTGGCCTGGAAGACACCTTCCAGGGACAGATACATCATATCCGTGCGATTCCCATCCATCTCCCATTTGAGTATCTCAGTTAGCTACCGGTAGAGGTAACTTGAAGTATGTGCACGCGGGGGTAGGACGAAGTCCCGGGGTTACAGGGTTCCGGGAAGAAAATTTGCTTGAACGGTTTTCAGTCTTGGCTGAACGGTATCCAGATTTCTTGAACATTTTCCCATAGATTCCTACTTCGAAATATATGCTTATGAGTGAGGCACAGCAGTCCGACGAGAAGAGATTGCGAATGGAGGATGAGAGGAATGCGAGTTACACTAAGCTTATGGTGGAGAGATGGAGGTGAGGCAGCCTTCCATAACCAAACTACCGGTACATGCCCCCAAGCTACAGTAACACCATCGTGGCTCCTGGTCCTACTTCCGTCATAGTACTGTACCATTAATGTGTGCTGTGTAGCAACAGGTTGGTATCAGCAAATCAGCAACAAATGTGTCTTAACCCTAGTTGTAATGGGGTACACCATTCCCATGCAAAAGCCACCGGTACAGTAGTTTAGACGATGTTGTATTCGTACGCTTGATGTTAGCTAGCCCTTGGACACCAACAATGGCGATCACACCTCCAACTTGCGACGATATCGCCATGCAACTTCTCGAAGAACTTCAATTTGTGCGTTTCAAAATTCTTCAACCCACACTGAGTATACTTTAATCAAGTGTTTCGTAAATGTTTCGTAAATCAGTGGTATTTTTCTATACTTGAAGCACATATAAAAATCAGCATAAAACACCCCTTCAGCTCGACAGAGACCCCCGCTCAATAGAAACATACGACGAGCTGACTATTACACATAAAAGGAAATGACACCGTACGGAACTACAACTGTCGTTCGGCCTTGGCCAAGATCGCCGACATTTACAATCGCGCGGCTTCGTCGACCTCATCAAGCTTCCTTTCGGTACTGGCTTGGTGGGGCTTAGGATCGAACGGACCTGCATCCACTTTGCAGTTGGAGTTGTGATTGGGGTACGTGGCGTTGTTGAAGAAGGCGGCGAGGGTATTGCGGATGCAGCTGCTGCGCATTCTGTCGATGCCGTGACCGTACCCGTCGCGTGTGACCAACACCGCGTTGGAGCCCATGAGTCTGGCGAGCGCTCGGGCGCCGCGCAGGGGGGTGACGGGATCGATTTTGTTTTGCAGAATCAAAATCGGTTGGCGCAGCTGGACGTTCCACGGACCACTGTAGCGCTCCACGGGGCGAATCTTCCAGTACATGGCAGGCAAGGCATCATAGGCAAACTGCATGCCAAAGAGGGGGCTGTTACGCTTGGCCTCGCGGAGAGCGCGGTGCCAGTCCCGCGTCCCCTTCAATTCACCGTCATTGGCAATGTAGATGGGGAACTCCATGCTCATGCCAAGGTAGGAGGGGTTTGTCACGGGGCATGTATCGGGCACGGGGGGCGACACGTATTGGCCCCGCAACAAGTTGTGCAGATCGCGCGCCAAGCCGAGCCACTTCTTCGGGTCGTACAATGCCTGTAGGATCATGAATCGAACATCGGCCGCTGTGAGGACGGAGAAGTCGTCCCTGGCCGCCGTCGGCGCAATGACAGGCGTCTCCTCCATCGTGGCCAGAAACTCGCGAACGCGCCTGCCGACTTGGGGCTCGGACGCGAGCGGGCAGTTGGCCTGACCCGCCGCCTCGCATGTGTTGGCAAATGAATCAAACGTTTCGTCGGCATCAACGGTGGACGTGGCCAGCAGGTCCGACGAGGGTCCCGTGTACAGTGTCGGGTCGAGCACCGATTCGATCACGACGCGGCCGACGCGGTGGGGAAACATGTTGACATACGTGGCACCGAGAACGGTGCCGTAGGACTTGCCATAGTAGTTGACCACGGATTCGTTTAGGGCGGCCCGGATCAGGTCCATGTCCCGCGCCACGAACGACGTCGACAGGTGCTTGACGTAGTCGCCGTCGTACATTTCGCAGCGGCGGACTATGGCCTCTATGGACGCCCCGTACCGCCCCAACGATGTCTCGGCGGTCGGCGAGTCGAACGGCACGTTGCTCCGACTGGGCCACTCGTTCGAGGCGGTGTAGCCGTTCTTGGTGCAGCGCGCGGGGCGCGACATCCCCACCCCACGGGGGTCGAAACCCAACACGTCGTGCTGGCCCCCGAGGTACTGCGCGACGCCGCTTTCAGCAAAGGGCATGCCAGATATCCCCGGTCCCCCAGGGTTGAGGAGGATGGTGCCCTTGGCGGCATTGGGGACGCGGAAGCGGCGGACGGCGATATCGATAGTTTGGTTGGGCGACGGATCCAAGTGGTTGAGGGGGACTTTGAGAAACCCACATTGCACGCGGGTGTCGTTCGTGTCGGGGCATGGCTGCCAGTTGAACGGGGTTTGTTGCGCCCCCACGGTCATGACCGCGACGGCGAGCGTACCATAGATGCTAGGCATGATGCGGGTGTTTTGCTGGCAATTTCGAAATGACAAATCTTCATAAATATACCAAAACGACAACGTCGTAGCAAGGACCAAAATGTGTCTCACGGTCATTCCATCAG